CTGGGTTCGGGGTTGATGCCGTGCGTGGAGCTGGAGCTGCGGAGGGGGGGGTGTGTGGCTGGGCCGGTTCTGCTCTCCTGACCGGCCGCAGTGCCGGTTACGCTGGTCAGACCAGTACTGCCCTCCCTGATTCTCACGGCGTCTCTTCCCTGAGCGCCTCCCTTTGATTGTTGACGTTCGGAATAGCTGGGCTCTCCTGGAGCTGGCTGGAGGCGGGTGTGCACCAGGGGAGCTGGATGGCGAGCACGGGGTGTGTGGCTGGGCCGGTTCTGCTCTCCTGACCGGCCGCAGTGCCGGTTACGCTGGTCAGACCAGTACTGCCCTCCCTGATTCTCACGGCGTCTCTTCCCTGAGCGCCTCCCTTTGATTGTTGACGTTCGGAATAGCTGGGCTCTCCTGGAGCTGGCTGGAGGCGGGTGTGCACCAGGGGAGCTGGATGGCGAGCACCCTCGGTCGGTGGGACTTGTCTTAATAAACTGTTGTTCTTGCCCATTCAGCTCCAGCTGCCCTTCCTCCCACAGCCCCTGTTACTGCTCCTGTTGCAGCGCCAGGTACTCCGGACCCTCCCCGTTAACACCTCGTGTGCCGCATTAACCAGAGTTTGCCGTTCTGGGTGGTTGCAGTTACATTAACCCTAACAGCTTGCACAGGGGAGCGCAGGTCGCTGCACAGGAGCCAGGACTCGGGGTCCCGTCCCCTCGGTGTGAGCGAGCCACGCCACCGCCTGTGCCTTGGCGTCCTCGTCCCTGAAGGGTGCCTGCCTGCTGGGAGGGTTTGCCTGTGTCACACTGGGGCTGGAGGGAGGGGGCTGCCCTCCGCCAGAGCACAACTGCCAGCGCACTCCTGGAACAGTTACGCATGCCAATGTGTTAAATTTGACTTTTCTTTCCTATCCTTGGGTTGGGTCCTCGTCACCCCCTGCTCCCGCCAGCCTGGGATGCGATTTCCCAGGCTCGGGAGCAGCGCTGGGGGTCTGGCTGGGCCTCCAGGGCTCCACAAAGGGTGTGGCAACCCCTTTGGTAGGGAAGAGCTGGCGGCGAAGCCTGGCCCCTGTGCCGGCCCCGTGGGGTTCCTGCTGTGCCCGGCCTGCTGGGACTTCCTGGCATTTCAGGTGCCGCTGCCTGCCATGCCAGGGTTTCAGCCCCAGCTGCTCTGAACTGGGAAAACTGGGGTGCCGGTACTGATCCTGGCATCGGGTTTTTTCTTCTGCATCTTGCGCCCATCAGCTAGCTCACACGCCCGCACAGCGTTCTCTGTAAAATCGATGCCGGTTTCTAGAGGCAGGTGAATGTCGTGGTCTGCGCTGGACCTGGCAGGTCAGGCGGACGTTCGTCTGCT